TTTTTAAATAAAGGAGTTTTGCACGTTCTTTTTTTTTTTCTGGGGTGTGTGTGTGTGCAATCCAAAACATATTATCAAAAAGTTGTCGTTTCATTTTCCTTTTACGGCGCGCAATACACACAAAGAAAAAACAAAGAAAAGAAAGAGTATTATTATTTATTTATTTATTTTATTTATTTATTACTTTAGTAAAAATGTCTTACTTTACGGTCTATCATGGAAATAATGAAGCCACCATGTTCAACGCCGACTGCACCACCGGCTCTCTAGTCAGTCGAATGCTCCAACTGCTGCTCCCACACAATGCCCCATACACACGATTAGAACTCGTCCCTCTCAGTTTCGTGTATGAACACTTCCGTCCTCCCATTTCCAGAGGCTCCACCAGCACCGGCACTCGCGGCGGCGGAGTTCAATCTTCTCAATCTTCTCCATCGCAACAACAACAACAACAAGATGTAAATAATAATAATAATAATAATAATAGTGATGGGATGATGTTCACCGTAGTGAAGGGACCACCTTTCACGGGGGTAATTCCACTCATTGGACTCGCCACTCGGCCGGTGGAAAGTTACGCCGATGCACTTTTTACAGCCGCGACGAATATCATTCCTTCTTCAACAGCCACAGCGGCTGCGGCTGCGGTTGGGGTTCCTTCCATGTTGGGAAGTACTTCTTCTTCCTCCTTTGGTCCACCGATGCCTTTGCAGAATTGTTTTGTCTTGCTGGGATGTAGACATTTTCATGAACAACGGAGTAATGGAAATGGAACTACTACTACTAGTAATACTACTACTACTACTATTAATAATGTGAATAATGTGAATAATATGACAGCAACGGGGAAGTTAACACCAATAATGGGAAGGAAATCCGGAAATGCCGAGACGGTATTGAAAGAACAACAAGCCGCTGCACTTTTACGAGCACAAATGATTGCCGCTGCCCCTGTGATTACACAAAACACACAAAGTGGATTACCATCTAATAGTAATAGAGCCCCAACGCCTCAACCACAAGGAGGAATGGGAAGTAGTAGTAGTAGTGGAGGTGGTGGAGGAGGAATAGGAAGTGGGGTAGTAGCAACTGCAGCAGACTGTGCACAGTTAACGGCCTATAAACATGGAATTATGCCAACCGATAAAAGTACAGCTCCATGGCGAAAGGCATTTAGTCAATATCTCACCACCATGCTTCAACCAACCATATCCACAGATGGAAATCCAAATGCATGTACATCCCCTAATAACCATAATAACAATACCGATACCAGTCCACATAAACAAAATGATGAAACTATTTCCACAACAACAGCATCACAACAACAACAACAACAACAACAACAAGCTCCTTCTCCTTCTTCTCCTTCTGCTGCTGCTGCTGCTCATTCATTAGAGGAGTCGCAGAATAGAGCTGTATTACTTCCACCTGCCGCTACTGGTATATTTAATATGCCTATACCACCCATAACAGGCTATGATGTTCTTTGGCGAGGGACCAGTGGAGAACATATACGTTTACAAGAGGCTCTAGATGAGAGAGTTATCACAGACACAGACACAAAGAAAAAGAAACCGAAACGTGCTTGAGGAGAAAGAAATGAAAGAAGAAAAAAAAAAAAAAGAGTATAAAAGCACAAATATTAACAATCAGTTTTATTGCATGTACAAGAGTATCAACAACATTAGAAAGAAAGGAAACAACAAAACAATAACAACAACAAACAAACAAAAGAAAGGTATGTTACCATACTCCTTTTTATTTATTTATTTGGGGGTTATTGTCATTGGAATATTTTTCATTTTAGAAAAAGAATACTGTTATACCAATACCATACAATCTTTATCTATCTATCTATATATTATTATAAAAAAAAAAAAAAAAATACTTTCTGCAATATGTATCTTTGGTTCTCCTTTTTCTTTTCTTCTAACGGTTTCTAATATTTCCCATACAGAAATGCCGAATAGAGAGTTTGTGAAAACAAATCTTATATCACTTTCGGGTAATGACAGTCATCATTATATTAACAAGGATTCTACTACAGTTACGGAGATAAAAGGTGAGATTTCATCATGCCATCATACATTGCAAAAGTCTTCTCCTTTAAAGTTAGGCTCTACTACTATTAGTACTACTACTACTACTACTACTACTACTACTACTAATAATAATAATAATAATAATAATAATAATAATAATAATAATAATAATAATAATAATAATAATAATAGTGAAGAGATGCGTTTAGATATGGATTATCAATCTCTGAGAGATTTACAAGAGACTACAAAGAAACCCTTGTTAAGATTGCCTGTGATGAGGAATCTATCGAGTAAAGGAGGGATTATTTCCTCTGACGGTGTATCTTGTGAATCTAAAGAAGTTATTCTCGCATTCATCTTATCATTAAATCTTTGGTGGTGGCCAAATAGAAAAGAAGAAGAAGAAAAAGAAAAAGAAGATAGTAATTTACTGCATATGAGTCTATCAAAAGCAAAAATGGAGTTAATACGTTTATATACCTCTTATGATCCTAAACGGGCTACACACATGAAAAACTCCTCTTTATCCTCATATGTAGATACAGAGAAAAGGATAGAAGGAATGAATGCAATTCCTGCAGATGTGAAGAAAAGGATAAATCATAAAAAGTATACATCTACAGATATAGAAGAGGAGGAGGAGATGATGATGGATGAAGAGTATAAAGAAGTAATTCTTCCAGTAGAGGCGGATTGGAATGAAGCTATTCGACGTGGTATTCCACCTATTCTTATTCTACGATTTACACTTTGGGTTTATATAGCTTGGTATTATCATTATAATGGAGAGTCTATGAAAATAACATCCATAAAGACTAAAGAGAATAAAAATAAAGTGTGGGATGCTTCTAAACCTTCTCTATTAGAATTATCTTTTCATTCTACTGAGGCATTGAAAGATAATAATGAGGTTGAAGAGAAAGAAATAAACAACCGTGTAGGTTTACAAAATAAATTCATAACACTTTTTTTATTACCACCATCAGAGTGTATGTTAGGGTTTTCTGTAGATTGTAAGGAGTGGCTTGAGGTTCTTGCTGTTTTTACACCTACAGAGTGTACAAGACTACTTCTACAATATGTGAAAAGACATTATATACAGAAGACTATTAATCATTGTAGTAGAGATAGTAATAGTGATAATAGTGATAATGATAATAGTGATAATAATAGTAATAGTGACTTAATGTCTTTCTTAACATGGCGGCGATGTGTGGATTCAATTCCTACTGATCCTACGACTGGAATGAATATACATATTGATTCTTCTTCAAATATTACTATTGATACTACTACTATCACTAATAATAATAATAATAATAATAATAATAATAATAATAATAATAATAATAATAATAATAATAATGCCCATGTTAATGCTGTTACGGCGGCATTGATAGCGTTAGATATACCAGGAATGAATAGTGCACGATATTCGGGTGTTAATCCACACTCACTTTTTCGCCCACCGACAACATCTAATCAAATATTTCTCTTTCATGGGGAATATTATCTACTTGATCATTCACAGTGGATAGCATATAGTATACATGAAAAGGAATTCTCTGTGAAGAACCAACAGTTACAAAATCAAGTAGAATCAAATAATAATGATAATAATAATGATATTGATAATGATATTGATAATGATATTGATAGTGATAATGATAGTGATGATAATGAGATGGATGCCATTGTTGATTACGCAGAGGCGTTGTTGCTTCCTAGTGTGAACAAACACTCTATCAACTCTAGAGAAGTAGTCTCACACTTTATTCAAAATACAGAGAAGAAGTTAATGATGGAAAATATCATTACATTTCATGAGACTCCAATGTTAACTACATCTACAGTAACTACAGCAACAACATCAACAACAACAACTAATAATAATAATAATAATAATAATAATAATAATAATAATAATAATAATAATAGCCATACTACTACTACTACTGCGGGTATTACAGAGATGATGTTAATTCCTGTTTGCGGTGGAGCTTTTTGTTTACCGCGTTCTCTCATTTCACATGAGAGGGTCTCTCATGTACTGGACTATTGGGGATTTAGTCCAGTAGAGAATGAGAATGAATACATGAGTACTAATAGTAATAGTAGAAAGAGCCATGAAAAAGAAAGGATTAACCCTAATAATAATAATAATAATAATAATAATAATAATAATAATAATAATAATAATAATAATAATAATAATAATGAGGATAAACTGAATAACAGGGATTTGTATGCGACGGTGTCTGGGTGTTTATCATCAGAGACTTTTATGGAAAGACTTTGTCGTGATGTTCTTTTCAGTCGAGATACTATTACTACTACTACTAATACGAGTGATAAGGTACCTTTTCCTTCTTTACATAATTGGTGGCCTATTGATTTATCTGAAAAGGAAAGGAATGAGAAAATTAATACTGGGAATAGTAGATACAAGAAAGATATGAGAAGACCTGATAACTACTATAATCATAGAAATGATAGCAATAGTATCAATCGAAATGATGTTTTCAGTAATGCTGATAATAATAATAGTAGTAATAATAATAATGGAAAGAATGAAAGTTATTGTAATGACTATAATGATGATGAAAACGATTCTAATCTATCTGATGAGGAAGGAAATGGAATGTGGGATCTTCATTTACATCAGAATCATACATCATCATTAAACCCACAACAGATATCGGGCCCCATACTTTCTCTATTTAAATAGTTTCTGTTATTATTTATCCTCTTCTTTCTTTTTTTTTTTTTATCATATATGTATATGGGTGACCTTTACCTCTGTTTTCTTTTTCGTGATGTGCCGTTCATAATAATATAGTTATGGCATTTGTATTTTATTTATTTATTTTTTTTTTTTACTTTTTTATTAGTTGTGGAAAAAGAAAGATTTTTCTTTCCACATCCCCTTCTTTCTTTCTTGTGTTGAAGTTATTTGCTTAGTTTTTTTTTTTTTTTTGAACGTTTCCTTTTCCTTTTGCAATGAACATGCTCTCTTCATGTGGATTATACTTCTTTTCTCTCTTTTCTCTTAATTCCCCAGAGTTATTGTTACTATCCCCATTTTTCTGCATATCTTAATTTTAATTTTTAGTCTTTTTTTTTTTTCTTCTTCTTCTTTTTATTTCTTCTTTACGACTATACTACCTTGCGATAAACAAGAAGAAACAGAAAATTAGTAGAGAGAAAAGAAAAAAAGAAAAAAAAAGGCTATATCCAGAGAAGGACACCTCTTCTAACCCTTTCACCCCTTCTCATTTCTCTCTCACACACACATACACTTCCCACATACTACTACTACTACTACTACTACTACTACTACTACTATTACTATTATTCCCATATATATATATATATATATATATATATATATATATGTATAAACTCTCACTCACTCTATTTATCTCTCTCTCTATTTCTCTCACTCACTCACTCACTCACTCTCGCAGATTGTGTAGATTAGAGAGAAAGAAATGTACGCCGCTGCCCGTCTCTGGCGGTCGCCCGTCACGAACCGCATGGGCCGCACCGTCGGGGTGTACGACCGCCGCGGCCGCTTCAGCACCGACGAGGCCGCCGCCGCCCTGCAGTTGGACGCCGCCTACACCGCCGCCCTCTACCGCCCCCTCCACTACACCTTCGCCGTCGGCGGCCAACACTACCCGGCGGAACAGGGGCGGGTGAGTCGGCCGGGGAGCAGGAGTTGCGCGAGGGGGCAGATGTTTCCACTCTACCGCAGGAATAGACGGCTGCAGGCACAGTTGATGGAGTTGGATAGGCGGACCATCACAACAGAGTAAGTAGTAAATTATTGGTCAAGGGTGGTTTATATATATATATATATATATATATATATATATATA